ATGCAGTAGGTCATTAATTATTTTCCCAGTGCCTCAGTTTCTCTTCTGTAAAATGAGGATAAGCCAGGCGTGGTGACTCCAGCCTGTAATCCATCCCGTAATTTTTGGAGGCCAAAGTGAGGGGATTGCCTGAGTCTACAGGTTCGAGAACAGCCTGGGCAACTTGGCAAAACCTCACCTCTACAATAAATTTTAAAAAAATAGCCAGGTGTGGTGGTGTGTGCCTGTAGTTCCGGCTACTTGGAAGGCTGAGCCCAGCAGGTCGATGCTGGGGTGACCATGAGTGTGCCACTGCACTCCAACCTGGGTGACAGAGTGAGACTCCAACTCAAAAAAAAAAATGGGGGATAGAAATAATACCTACTGCATAGGTGTGTAGTAAGGATTAGATGAGGTAGTACAGAAAAAGCTCTTAGAACTTTGCTCAGAGCATGGTAAGTAGCCAGTGTTGTTGTCATCGTCTCATATCATCATCATCATTGTTGTTGTTTTTTTTTTTTGAGTTGGAGTCTCACTCTGTCACCCAGCCTGGAGTGCAGTGGCCACTCCCAGCCACCGCAGCCTTGACCTGCTGGGCTCCGGCGATCCTTCCGCCTCAGCCTTCCAAGTAGCCAGAATTACAAGCATGCGCTACCATGCCCAGCTGATTTTTGATTGATTGTAGAGATGAGGTCTTGCCAAGTTGCCCAGACAGGTCTCGAACCTGCGGGCTCAGGCAATCCACTCACCTCAGCCTCCCAAGGCGTGGGATTACAGGCTGAGCCACCGAGCCCGGCATCGTGTTGTTGTAAATTAATTGCAAACGCAAATGCCTTCTCATTCTGGTTGTAGGATTAGGAAGTACCCACAAGCCAGACCAAGTTGTTGCTATTTTTTTTTTCTCAAAAACAATTCTGTGTTCAAGCTGACATACAAAAAAATGGGTGATTGAAGCCCAGTTTCTCTGTGACAGAGCATGGCTTGGATAGTTTCTGCTTAAACATTTAATGCAGATGTATCAAACTCTGCCATGGTCATAAAATTCCCCAAACAACTATAAAATATCTAATTTTAACATTGTAATTCCATAGGGAATCCTTTAAGGCAAGCTAGTTTCCAAATGTTCTGTAGGTAACTAAACTACAGTCATGTGTTGCTTAACAACGGGGAAACTTTCTGAGAAATGCATCGTTAAGATATTTCTTCCTAGCTGGGCTTGGTGGCTCAGCCTGTAATCCTGCACTTTGGGAGGCCGATGTGAGTGGATTGCCTGAGCCCGCGGGTTCGAGACCCGCCTGGGCAACTTGGAGAGACCTCATCTCTACAGTAAATAAAAAAATCAGCTGGGCGTGGTAGCGCATGCCTGTAATTCCGGCTACTCGGAAGGCTGAGGCGGAAGGATCGCCGGAGCCCAGCAGGTAGAGGCTGCGGTGGCCGGGAGCGGCCACTGCACTCCAGTCTGGGCGACAGAGTGAGACTCCAACTCAAAAAAAAAAAAAAAGATGTTTCTTCCTTGTGTACTTGCATAAACTTAAACGGTATAGCCTACCATGTACCAAGGCAATATGGTGTAGCCTATTGCCCCTATCTACAAACCTGTAAACTGAATACTATAGGCAATTGTAACACAATGGTTTTTTGTTTTGTTTTGTTTTGTTTTGAGACAAGGGCTTGCTCTTGCTCTGTCACCCAGCCTGGAGTACAGTGGTGCAATCATGGATCCCTGAAGCCTCGAACTCTTGGGCTCAAGGGATCCTCTCACCTTGGCTTCCCAAGTAGCTGGGACTACAGGTGTAGGTCACCACAACTGGCTCATTTTTTTTAGTTTTTTGTAGATACAGGGTCTTGCTATGTTGCCCAGGCTGTTCCCAAACTCCAGGCCTCAAGTGATCCTCCCACTTCAGCATTCCAAAGTGCTAGGATTACAAGCATGAGCCACCAGGCCTGGCCTCACAATGGTATTTGTGTATCTAAACATAGGAAAGGTACAGTAAAAATATGGCATAATAATCTCATGGAACCATCACCATATTTGTAGTCCATTGTTGAATGAAATGTCATTATGCAGCACATGACTGTATTTGATTTGCTATATAAGTTGTTAGGTTTTAATCTAATTAATCTTTGGAGAACATCCACCAGAAATAATGATTTTCATTTTGCAATAGTTAATATAAACCTCTGAGTTTTATTAGTTAAAGCAGCTAGCATTATCATAACTAAAGTAGAATTTTATCTTTCGGAAGCAGTTAAGGATCCTTTTAGGATAATGAAACTATGTCATCAGTTCACAAAAGGATGTTTATTTTGCTGATTTCAACTCATCCAAGGCTGGGTCATTAGGTACAATTTCAAGAGAAGGGGGAAACCACTGTTCTCTGCTCTCTCGGTTGTAGTATTTTGGCATAGATCGTGGAGAGTCTAGGGGCATAATTGTTAGGCATAATAAGAAATAGACATGCAAGTCCACAGAAAAGGAAGTACACTTGCATTGGCTTTCAATTTCAATTTATTATTGCAGTGATTTCAGAGGATGAACTTGAATCGACTGACCAAATTGACCTTGAATCTAATTTTGTCTGATAAGGCTTAGTTCATCCCTAAGATGCAATGGGTTGAGGGCAGAAACAGTTTTCTTTCTGCCAAAGTCATGTCCCCTTTTCATGGACTGGAGTCACCATTAAGAGGTAGTTTCCTGGTTAGAAACTGTATTCCCCAGAGCTCCTTAGATTCAGATGTGGTCAAATGACTAGTCCTTATTAATGGAATATGAACAGAAGTGTATTGTGTCATTTGCAAGCTGAGGTTTTAAAGAACTGAGTGAAACTTTCTCTACACACTAGTCCCCCCCAATCTGCGGTTTTGCTTTCCATGGTTTCAGTTATCTGTGGTCCACTGCGGTTCAAAAATATTCAGTGAAAAATTCCAGAAATAAAAAACTTATAAGTTTTAAATTGTGCACTCTTCTGCGTAATGTGATGAAATCTGGCACTATCTAGGCTCCTCACCTGTTACTCACTTGGGAGCCATCTTGGTTATTAGATGGCCTGTCACAGTATGACAGTGCTTGGGTTCAAGTCACTCTTATCTTACTTAATAATGGCCCCAAAGTGCAAGTGATGCTGCCATATTGTTATAATTGTTCTATTTTAAAAATTAGTTATTGTTGTTAACCTCTTACTCTGCTTAATTTATAAATTAAACTTTGTAGGTATATCTGTTAGACAAAAACATAGTGTACATAGAGTTTGATACTATCCAAGTTTTCAGGTATCTGCTGGGGGTCTTGGACTGTATCCCCCTAGGACAGTTGTGCTTCTCTTTCCACATCCACAGGCTGGATGAAGGATATTCTGTGATCCTGGATGATGATATGGAGCCACAAAATGAAAGAAACTTAGATCCCTGAATCACTATGTGGCAGGGAGCCATCCCCTACCCACCACCCATCTACATTGAACTGTTACATGTCGAAGAAACACATTTGGATTGTGTTAAGACACTGAATCTGGGTTTTATGACAACAGCTGTAATGGCCACAACTAAAGTGGGCTTTCATCTTCCAGAATCGGTTAGCAGATTTTGAAATGATCACTCTGAGTGAGTCAAGTAAAAGCAATTAAGTAGAGTAAATCAAGTCAGACTGATCTGAAAAGACTAATATGTTTTAAACTTATTTTGTAATGACCACTCTTGGAAAATAATATGATTTTTGTGACTAAATATTTTTGTGGGCTGTCTGAAAAAGTCTTTCTTTTCTTTTTCCTAATTCATCAAAAGTGATGTCGATTGGATTGTTAATTATCTGGCTTGCTGTTTCTTCTCTAAACATCCTTGTTTTGTGGAGCTTTGGGTAAATCTTAGTTTTCTGTTATTTCTGGATATAGTCCAAGATAATAAGAGCCACGCCTTGGGAATAGCCCTAGAATTTCCCAAGACCTTTTACTTTACCGTAAAAGAGAGTGAAATTAAGAAACTTGTTTTTCTTCAACCTGGAAGATGATGGCCTTGGGCCCCTCAGCTCAGACAGAGCTCTGATTTTAGTTCTGGACATGAGGTAGAGGGCGAGACACACAGGATACATGCCTTGTGGTACTGGCCTGATGCCAGGCTTGGGAAAGCTAACATCCTGTCAGAGGTAGGTTCCGAACCCCAGAGGGTGAGGAAGAGCTCACTGCTGGTTCCATGATAGGAAATGCTGTTATCAGCTGCTCTGAGGGGCTTTCTAAAGAATGGGGACTGAGGCCATGCAGATATAAAGAAATGGGGAAGCTACCCTTGGTGTGGGCAAAACTTTTTCCTCAGTTGCTCAATTGTCTTACAAAAAATGTGCTCTTCTTGATCATCCAGTTTACTAGAGTGTATTTCTTCATATAGCTTCCAGGAGCACACGTTTCTGATTCTCCTTTTAACCTCTTGGTCTCCCTGGCCCAGGCTCCTTAGCTTTCTCTCAGCTCTTAAAGTGTAGCATGACTCTGACTTTAGACATTAACCTTTCTGCCTGGTCATTGTCCTTTTACTTTGATTTTCTGCAGAGCACTCATCACTAAGGGAAATGATCTAATTTATTTATTTACTGATGTGACACTTAAGTCCTTCACTAGAATGTAAGCTCTGTGACTTAAGAGACTCTGTCTTGCTTCCTGTGGATCTTCAAGGGACAAGAACAGTCCTTGGCCTATAATATGTGCTCAGTAAATAGTTATTGAATTCATAATTGACTGACTGGTTAATTAAATGAATAAATTTATGAATTCTGATGACGACAAATAGCATTTCTTCTTAAATCAAAGATTAGGATAAAAAGGTTTATGAAAGTAGGGAAATGAGATTAGACTTTGAGATGACTTTAGGGTACTTTGTTATGATTCTGTCTACTACAGCTTCAAAGAAAATGAATTCCTTCCTCCCTCCCTCCCTCCCTCCCTCTCTTCCTTTGTTCCAAATCAGCCACAGAGGGATGGATTAGATGACCTTCTAATATAAGTTGCATCTCTCCCAACTTGAGCCTGGCTACATACCTCACATCAGGCTCAGCAGTGGCTGCATGCAGCGGCAGACGGCCATTTTTATCTGGGATATTGTGCTTGGCACCATTTCTGAGTAGACTCACACAGCCTTCAAGCCAACCCTGAAATACAAGAGCAACCACATCATTACATAACAGTCTAACAAAATTTCTCTAGTCTCCTGCTCCCCCACAAGTTTGGCTAAAACATATTTTATTTGACTTGAAGTGGCTAAGGACCACAACTCCAAGTTAGACATCTCAACAGAGGGATGAAGTTCTTGGGGTATGGATTCCCAAGTTTACCCTGGAGGACCTTGCCCCTGTCACAACTAGACTGACCTCCAACTTACTCGCCAGCCTCCCACTTCCCATTTCTAGGGCCACTCGTGGTATTCCACTTATATGCTTAGACTGCACCAATTTCCAGGGCCAACTGTGGCACCTGATGGTATACTTAACAAGCTCTGGCCTCTCATTCTGTGGGCTTAGCTCCAAATCAGCCCTGAATGGTCTGACTTGAACATCATGGTTTAGTTCGAAAAATTGGGCTATTCTGTCATGTCTGAATCCCAGTCTTTCCTCTCCAGTTCAGTTTATTCATGTCTGATCAATGGGCCTTGAGCCTCCATTCCAAGTTCCTTTTCTTTACTTACAAGAACAGCATCTTGCTTATTCTAATTATTCCCCCTCCCAATGTCTAGAAGCCTAAACTTAATCCCTCTCCAATGGCCGGGACCCTGCCACTTTGTTGATTGATGTTTCTGAGGCTGACAGCCTGAATCTCTAAATGTAGGGTATTGCCCTCCAAGGGTTCCACGGTGTTTTTTTTTTTTTTTTTTATCCACCTGTGAATTCCCTAAGAAACTTTGTATGAACTCCTTGCTATCTATGAATTGTCTAGATAGAGACTTGATATTGTCAGATCCCAAGTGTTGTCCCCCGCCTTGGTCAACATTTACAGCTGGATCATCTTCCCATTTTCTTTTCCATTTCAAAGGGCAGGCATAATCTCAGGTTAGGCCTCCCTTCCATGCTACTTCAATTGGCCAAACCATACTGATAACCAAGTTTGGCTTCCATGCTGAGGAGAATGCCTCGTACGTTCATTCAGGACTGCTTGTATTACTTACCTCATTAAAAGTAGACTTATACATAGATGAAACTATTATTATGAAGAATATGATATCTCTCTATTTTGTTTAGAAGCAGCCTTCCTGTCTTCCTCCATTTTTGTCTAGGTTAGCCTCAAGATTGCCCAAAAAATGAGAAATATGGCTGAAGATTTTTCCCTCCTAATATTGCAATATTGAAAGTGATAAAGCCCAAAATGTTAACAGATGCATGGGGAAGAAGGAAGATGATGCTAAGAAAAGAATCTTTTAACTTTCAAAAGTCTGGAAGGAAAACCTCTCAACAAAAGCTCATTAAAATATATAGGGTATAATTTTGAATATGGTTTTATGGAATTGACCAATAATATCTATGTCTAAAGTAGAAACAAATATTTTTCTGGCGTTTTTGGTCTTGAGTCATAGTTTACTAATGTATTAAATATGTTTTTAGTTGCTAATGCTTAAGTCATCAAGTTATCAGACTAAAAGAGAAAATGTGACCCAGAGAACCAAAGGAAAGGCATACTGGGTAAATTTTAGAGTTGCTAAAGATTTACAGTTTTTGAAAAGCAGATCTTTTGGTGGGGGAGGGTTTGAAACATTTTTTTAAAAACCATTTTGCAACATTTCCTGGAACTCTGTGTGTGAGTGGTTTTTTTTTTTTTTTTTAAATTTAGGGAAAAAAAATCAGAAAACCATTGAATATACTATCTGAAACTCTTGGTCGCCATTCAGAACCAACAAATGAGTTGTGTACCTACTGTGTGCCAGCTGGTTCCACTGTTTCTTTTTCAACTGTGATGAGGGTGTTATTTTTACCACACATTGCAAATGACGGAAGAAGCACAGAGGTAAAGTGATTTGCCCAAGGTCACATAGCGTGAAAGATGATCATACGAATCGGGTTATTCTTGTCATACTCACCTAAAACAGAGTCAAGAAGCCAGGGAGATAAAGCACTCAGGGTATATAACATTGCTCCAGAAATGTAATTCTCTGCAAGCCTGGCTGTGGAAACCAGGTAGTAACCTCAAACTGGTTTTATCTAATGGCTTCTAAAACCTGCTGCAACTCTAAGACTAATTTTACTCACCACGGTCACTCACCAGTCAGGTCCCCAAAACTTTACTTAGCGCCAATGCACTTTCTGGAAAAAACAATATGTAACATTTCTCCTTTATAAAACTCTCAACCTCCTCTTTGCTCTTCCGGCATACTGAAGACTACCTGGTCAGTGTGTTATGCCCTGAATTGTAACTCTTGTATATCGGGTAGGATGTTAAATTTAGAGATTTGTCTCTACATGTTTCATTTGACTTCAACACATCTAGGATACGTTTATTTGTATGCTGAGTTTGGAGCTGGGGCTGAGACTTCATTTCTAAATGCCCCTTTTGCCAAGTTTTTCTTTAATATTGGAATTCAAACATTGCCAGGAGGGAGTGCCATCACTTCACAATGCAATCCCCAGGAAAACGCTCCCTTCCCAGTGAGCCTCGGCAGGGCCAGGGAAGCATCCTGCCTTGGAGAATCACACAGAGGTGGGGGCAGTTAAGAAGGTGGCAACTCGTGCTGCAGGCATGCTCCTCCCATGCAGCTCCTTAGAACGTGTTCCTAGAAAGAGTTGTCTCTAGACTAAAGGTGCCTGCCATTATTCACTGTGATCTTGAGGACTGCTTCTTTCCAGTACCTTGCGTAGCTGTCTAGCCAAAGAAATTTGCAATGTTGAATGTTGAGAGAGACACAGCTTGTTTCCACAGTATTCTGTGTGCTTGTGGCAGTCAAGTTCAGGTACCTCTTCTATCCCCTCCCTCTACCCCTTGATCCCAATTTTCTCCTTGCCTCAGTTCAGATACCAAAAAAATCCATAGCAAGAGAAATTCTTAGGACATGTGCTAGAAGGGATGGGGGCTGGGAGGACAACCTTATATCTGCCTGAGATACGGGACTTCGGTTAGTATGCACAGACCAGTAGTTTTCAAACTCGATGGGCATAAAAATTGCCAAGGAAATTTGTTTAACACGCAGATTCCCCACCCACTGACATCCACTACCCCAGTACTGTTCCCAGAATATCTGACTCAGGAGGTCTAGGGTGTATTCCAGGAATCTGCATTTGAAACAAGCACCCCAAGCCATATTGACGCAAGAAATCTGTAGACCACAGTTTGAAAAATTCTTCCCAGATCTGTGTGTGAATCCTAGAGAAAGAAGGCATGCAAGTAAAAAAATGAAAAGGTAAGTTTTTAAAGAAAATCCTGTGAGAATTGGGCAATGCTTCAACGCAATGTATGCTGTACTATGGCAGGAAGGGGTGGTGTTTGGTGATGGGAAATGTTTTATTTCAGCTGGGCACCTTCAGTGTTACTGGTCCAGGGTGTCACCAGTGGGGGTGGCAACAGCAAATGCAGGATTCAACAAACTCAAGAAGCTGCATCAGCAGCAACAGTGGTCATGATGAAGATTTCTGGGTGCCTCACTGGGAAGGAAGGAGAAAGATGACCCTCATGGGGTGATTAGGGCTTGTTTGACATGGACTCAAGGCAGCTCTGGGGTCTCCCAGAAGGATCGCAGGGAGGATTTGAGATGAGAGGAGCTCGAGGATATTTTTTTTCTTTTCTTCTTGTAGAAACAGCATCTTGGTATGCTGCCCAAGCTGGTCTCAAGCTCCTGGGCTCAAGCAATCCTCCCGCCTCAGTCTCCCAAAGTGCGGAGATTATAGACATCAACCACAATGCCTGGGCAAAGATTTTCAAGAAGGCTTAACCAAGATTGCTCTAACGTTGGGAAATGCCGAACTGAAATCCCTAGTGTTGAGGGCTACACAGTTTTAAAATTGAGTACTGATTGTGGGATAAGTCCTGGGCTTGGTGTTACCCCCTAAGAGCCTGGTATTTCATCCTCACTCCCGAGCCTTCTCCCCACTTTCCCCAGTTCTCTTGGTTTCTCACATTCCTCAGTATTGAGTTTCCACTCAACCAGCCCTGACCCACAGATGCTAATTGGATCTCTGCAATGTTACCAGGGGTTATTTATGGAGGGCATTCCTGGAAGTACCAAGTGTCCAGAAGTATCCGAAGGGAAATTATGATGCTGTTAAGATAGAAAAGAACGTTTCTCTAATGGCAGCATCATCTCTATCTTAGAAGATTGTTAGTGAGATCTAAAATGACTTAAATCCGCCAGGCTCGGTGGCTCAGCCTGTAATCCCACGCCTTTAGGAGGCTGAGGTGAGTGGATTGCCTGAGCCCGCGGGTTCGAGACCCGCCTGGGCAGGCGAGACCTCATCTCTACAATAAATCAAAAAATCAGCCGGGCGTGGTAGCACACGCCTGTAATTCCGGCTATTCGGAAGTCTGAGGTGGAAGGATCGCTGGAGCCCAGCAGGACGAGGCTGCAGTGGCCGAGAGCGGCCACTGCACTCCAGTCTGGGTGACAGAGTGAGACTCCAACTCAAAAAATAAATAAATAAATAAATAAATAAATAAAATTTAAAAAATAAAATTTCATGAGTCAGTTTCATGACTCAAATCCATGAAACTGACTCTAAATGGTGATATATATGTTGAAGATGGTTGGAATCAAGCTTCAAGTTCTATTTCCATTGGCCAGCTGCATAAATCCCACAATCCTCTTCTGCGCGTGAGATCCCATAATGGCACCTTTAGCAAACCCTGCACCTTAGCCCCTAAGAAAGACTCAAGTTAGTACCAGGTAGGTGGCCAGGCATAAACTCGTGCGGCCGTAGGCATCCTGCATGTTAATATTGGCTCCCATCTTCAGCAGCAGCTTCACCGTGTCCACTTGACGTCCAGAAACTGCGTGCATCAAGGGCGTACACCCTGGAATGAGACATTTCAACAGCCTTTAAAAATGTCTGACTCATGAAATTGACTAGCAGATTTTCTTTGCCTGTTCATTTATTTTGCTCTTTGCAACACAAACCCAGCTGTTGAACTGTATGGGACTGAAAGGGAGATGAAGTCCATTGTTGATGCATTTATATAAACCAGTGTTTTTCTCTTGGCCTCCTTTCAGTCTTTTGTAATTTTGTAATAATTGGCTGATTTAAACATTTTGGGCAGATGATAAAAATTGTTTATGACTGCCTTGGGAATCAGCATAATTTGGGACATACAGGCAAGATTGTCCTGATTTGGCTGGAACAATGCAGAGTCTGGAAGTGCCTTTGGGAAGCAGTTCCAGCCAGGCAAACAGGCTCAGTAGACGTTTATTGTAGGTAGTGGATGTGAAAAGCAGGGGTGGTAGCCCAGCCTTGGGTGCACAAATTCTTGCTAAAAGGGGCCGTGTGTACTGAAACGCTTCTCTGTTTTCAGAATCCATATAGGCCAAGGCATTTTTTTATGTGTTTTTTTTTCTTGAATAAAAACAGAGATGAAATTTCACATTCTGATTAATTTTGCAGGGTTGTTGGAACAAGCCAGCCTCATGAGGGAGAATCCAGGTGCCTCACATTCCTTCAGGTGAAGAGCACAATCCTCAGACATGGCCTCTTTCCCAGCTGAGACTTGTTTATATGTCTCTTGAATGGAAATTCATGTTGAGATTGTGATTCTTCTCTGAAGGAACTGCAAGCTATGACTCTCAGAGATCTCTGATAAATCCCAGGACTACTTTCTCACTGAAAGATTGCAGGTGGCAACCCGATCTTTCACCAAATCATTACTTTCTAATATTTTTAAAGGCATCTGTAGTGGGTAAAAGCAGCAATGAAGTGCCATGTCTTAAAATAGTGGCAAAATTTCCTTCCATTCTTCCTCCCTTCCTCCCTTCCTGTCAACAAATGGTAATTATAACTACTAAAAGAAAAAAAAAGACATGCTGTAAATGACAATTATTGAAGCAATCTATGAATCTGAGATGTTCAGTTAGTAAAGTGAAATAATTTCTAGATATAATTTTCATAAAGTCACATGTCTGGTTAATTTATACCTATTTTGAGATCCTAGCTTACATATAAATTTCCTCAGAGAACACCTCCCTGGCCCTCCATTTCAAACTGGATCTCCATGTTACAATCTTTCATCATCCTTTATTTTTCTTTAGTAACTCACAAATTTTGCAATTATGTATTTATTTGGGACGATCATTTTTTAATATTTGTCTCTTCTTCAAAGCTATAAATTCTAAGGGAAAGGGACCACATCTCTCACTGTATCCTTAGCACCATCCACTAAACCTGATGCCTAGAAGATGTTAAACAACAATTCTGAAATGCATAACCAAATGATTAGTGAACAAATATTTCTTATTTTTAAAATAATCTTACTGAGATGTCTCTGTGGTTTAGGGAGAAGTGACAGAAGATTCATCTCCAAATTGGGTTCCAAAATATATTTTAAGTTGATATACTTCCCCTTGTAGGAAATACAAAAACAAAAACCCCAAAATAGAAAAAATAAGAGAGTACAGTATTGTTCTTGTATATAAAATTAATATTTAAAACAAAAGCAAAAACAAAAATAAGGTATTTAGGAATAAGTCTAATGGTAGAAGATCAAGACATGTGGATAAAATTATAAAACTTATTGAGGGACATAAAAGAACTAAACATGAAAAGATAAGACTATGTTAAACATGAAAATGAGAAGACTCAGTAGAGTACAGTTTCCTGAAAATGAATCTATGAATTCAACGCAATCCCAATAAAAACTCACCAAAGTTTTTGTGAAACTTGAAAAAAAGTCCTAAAATATATCTGGAAGGGTATTAAGTGCCAAAAAAATATTGTAAGACAACTTTAAAATAGAACAAAGAGAAGAATATTGCCTTATCAACCCAAAAGATTTATTATACAGCCCCAGTAATTAAAACAACAAATAGATCAACAGAATAGAAAAGAGAATTCAGGAAATACTCAGGCCTGTATGGGAACTCAGTATATGACCAAAGTGACACTATAAATCAGTAGGAGGAAAAAAAGTGTTTAGTACTGACCCACTGGCTATACAAAAAGGATATATTAAAATTAAATCTAGAATTCGTATCATATATAAATATATCTCAAAAGATTACAGACTAAATAAGAAAAGCAAACTCTAACAACTTAAAAAAGAAAATACAGAAGAATATTTTTGCCACATTAAGGCTAATAAGGCCTTACTGAAGAAGACATAAAAACTACAAACTATAAAGAAAATATTTTATTAAATTCAAATACTTTCAGATTACTGTACTATGCAAGATATCATAAACAAAATGAAAAGGTCAGTCACAGTTTGGGAGAAGTTATTATTATCTATAAAACTAAGAAAATATCATTAGCTAAACTAAATAAAGAATATCAACAATTCAACAGAAATAACCTAGAAAAAAATAGACATATATGTACAAGCAATTCATGAGAGAGAAGACACAAATCAAATAAAATATAAAAGATTATAAATCTCACAAATAATCAGGGAATGCATATTAAATTACATTGAGAAACAACTTGAAACATGTTGAATTAATAATTATAAAATGCTGGCCGGGCTTGGTGGCTCAACCTGTAATCCCAGCACTTTGGGAGGCCAAGGCGAGTGAATTGCCTGAGCCTGTGGGTTTGAGACCAGCCTGGGCAAGTTAGAGAGAACTTGTCTCTGCAATAAATAAATAAAAAATTAGCTGGGTGCAGAGCCCAGCAGGTTGATACTGGGGTGGCTGTGAGTGTGCCATGGCACTCCAGCCTGGGAGACAGAGTGAGAGAGACTCTAACTCAAAAAAAAAAAAAAGTAATAATAATAATAATAATAATAATTATTATTATTATAATAAAATGCCACGTGTTGCCAAAGATTTGGAAAACTTTTACATACTATTGGTTAAAGTATAAATTAGAACAACCATTTTGGGAACAAATTTGGCAACATTTAATAAAATTTAATAAAATTAGCTTTTTACTCAGCAATCCCACTTTCAGATATATTTAATAAACAAATTTTTCATATTGTTTAACAAAGACACATAATCAAAGATAAGCAATGACAAATTAAGCTAATAAGAACTGGCATAAATGAACATTAATAAACACATAAATTTTGTTATATTTGTTCATAGGAGTACCATAGAGCAGTTAAAATGTATCGGTTAAACTAACTTATATCCACTTGAATAAATTCTGTAAACATAATTTTGAGTAAAGAAAGGCAATGGCTATTATTTATGTAAATTTTATAAATCAAAATAACAATGGACTTCTACAAATCCATGAGAATATAGTTAAAGCAGAAAAACAGAAAAAGGAAAAACACATCAACTTTAGAATAGTCATTGGTTATTTTAGAGGAATAGAGAGAAAAGGGATGGAAACAGAAAAGGATAAAAAGGGCCTTCAGATGCTCTGTAACACTTTCTTTAAAAAAAATTTCAAAGAAAAAAATTGCAAATTGCTAAAATTGTTAATTCTGGGTGGTAGGTACATAGTTTGACGTGTTATTCTCTGAACTTTGCCTTATGTTTCAAGCATTTTATGTTAAATAAAATACACCAAATAAAAGAGGGAGCAACTTGGTCAGCTATGGTACACACAAAGGAAGCCTTAGTGTCTTGCATCCTTAAATGATCCTTTTACCACTTGGTAAAGTGCTCAAGAGCTTTTAAACCTCTGCATTATAAGGTAAGGAAAGAGTACTGACCGAGGAAACGATATTTGAGTCTAGTTTTAGCTCTTTTATTAGCTGTGACACTTTGGCTAAGAAACTTAGCCACTTTGAGATTCATTGTCTTGTCCTAGGTGGTACAGGGTAGTTAGAGCGTGGTTATGAAATTTCAAAAGCAACAATAATAGCTGATATTTATTGAGTGCTTGCTATGTGCCAGGCATAACTAAATCCACTAGACAGATTAACCCATCTAATTTTCATTGAAAAACCTCAAAGCCCTTTGAGTTCTTGTTATTATCCTCATTTTGCAGATAGGAAACTGAGGCACAGGGGTTAAGTAATCTGTTGATGTTTATTCTAACAAGTAGAGTGAAGCAGTAGAACTCTTAATGTCTAAGAACACTAAGTTTTTAAAACAGGATGTCTTTGTGGGATATGTGGTTTGCAAATATTTCCTCCCATCCTTTAGTTTGTCTTTTGATCCTCTTAACAAAAAGTCAAATGTTTTTTATTTTTGATAAATTTGGATTTAGCCATTTTTCCTTTTATGGACCTTGCTTTTGAGTTTAAGAATTGCTTGCTTCGCCCTAGGTCTGAATACATTCTTCTACATTTTTTTCCTAAAAATGTTAGTTTTATGTTTTACACTTAAGTACGTGACCCATATTGAGTTAATCTTTGTATAATGTGTTAAATTTAGGTTGAGTGTGCTTTCTTTTCTCTTTTTCTCTTTCTCTTTTTCCTTTTCCTTCTATTGCTTATGGGTGTTGAATTGCTCCAGCACCATTTGTTAAAGAGGCTATCTTTCTTCCACTGAATTACATTTGCACTTCCACAAAAATCAGTTGGGCATGTTTGTATGGCTCTACTTATGAATTCTCTGTTCTTTTCCATTGATCTATGTGTCTACCCCTCAGCCAATACCACACAGACTTGATTTCTATAGAGCTTTAGTCTGTTTTGTTGCTATAATTGCATACCTGAGACTTGGTAACTTATAAAGAAAAGCTATTCTTTTTTATAGTTCTGGAGGCTGGGAGATCCAAGGTTGAGGGGCCTTATTGATGGTGGGGACTCTCTGCAGAGTCCTGAAGTGGTGCTGACCATCTCACGTGAGGGGGCTCAGGAGAGATGGTCAGACTAGCTTTTATGACAGATCCACTCCCTCAATAACACATTGATCTTTTAATCCATGAATTCACGAATCACCTCCCAAATGTCCCACCTCTCAACATTAC